AAAAGGGGCTGTACACTTATCAACTCCCCACAATGAAGGTAATCATCGTGCACTGCAATCATGTGCAATTAAACAATAAATAAAGATTTCTGCTGCCAGAAAGCCCACCCACACGGAGGCTTGGGTGTTGCATTTCAATCACTAATTTCCCACCCCCTGTGCCGGACTCGGACCCCTCACGGCTGCTGCCACCCTGCCACTGGCAAGTCAGAGGGAGGCCCTGTGGCAGCTAATTAACGAGGCTTTTAAAGGACACATCTAAGGGATACAGAAGGGGAGAGCGGAGGGCCTGAGCTAGAGAACCCTTCACTGAAGAGCCTGCGCTCAAGTGCTGCGCCCAAGGGGCCCTTGGGAGCCAAGACCAAGGCAGGCTGAGCAGGCGGGCAGCAGAGCCCGGCCCTGTCACACCGAGGGTCAGCCCGTGGGGTGAATGCACAAGTCCTCACATGCTCAGCATGGGGACAGAGTGCAGGGCACACAGACCCTTCCCTGCCTTCAGGGACCAGAGCCAAGAGGGGACGGGGAGGGGAGTAGGCAGAAGGGGTGCTCAGGAGACACCAGAGAAGTTGGAGGTAGCACCTTTGGGTGTGGGGAAGTGAGCAGGGCAGCCAGGCAGCAAGGAGCCAGGACAACACCAGGCATCCCTGAGGGAAGCCTGGAGGCCAGCAGGGCAGGCAAGCGGCATTCAACCAACGCCTGGTGGAGAAGGTGGCTGGCCAGGCTCCGTGCGCTCACAGTCAGGGACAGCGCCAGGGTGAGCAGGGAGACACAAAGGGCACCTCTGTGCACCTGCATCCCAGCATCGAAGAGGGACAGCCACGCTCCCACCAGCCTGGGGATGCTCACTCCCTCCGAGACCAGCCCGCCACTAGGGAGCTCTGCTGCGCTGTCACCTTCAGTTGCAGCCCTTCTTAGTCCCCACCTCAATGCAATGCTGAGACCCGCTGCTGTCCCAGGTGCTCAGTAAATTCTGGGGGACACAGGCAGCGTGCTCACCCCGTCCTTACGCAGCCAGCGCCCAGCTTGTAGGAGCCTCTGACAGATGTGACAGGTGGGGAGGGCCCCAGGCTAAGGAGGTGCTGAGTGACCAAGGCCTTGCCACTCACCATGGGGGTTCCGAGGCCCCATCAAGCAGGGCGTTGTGGACAAACCTGCAACTTCAGAGCCGGTAACTTTTGCCCTTTAGAAGAGAAATCAGGCCCCAACAATAGCCACGAGTGGCCAAAACACTGGACTTCGCAGTTACAGGGGAAGGAATTCAGCTTACGGGAAGAGGAAGACAAGCATGCGGATTTGTGCACATGGGTGTTCACCGCAGCGTCACTGATGACACAGGAAAACCACAGGCAAAGGCACATCCGTGATGAGACGCCACCTGCCGACACCACACGTGTTCTACAGGGTACAGTGACCAGGACATGCTCACAACATGTTAAATCGTAAGGAGACTGCACAGCAGCCAGGAGCTCAGTGCTACAAAAAGAACAAGGAGAACGCAAAACCATATATGCACATATACAGGAAAATGAAAGAAAACACCAAAACATCAACAGTCCCTTTCTCCAGGAAACAGGGTGAGATAAATTTATTTTTTAAGAGCTCTGCATATTTCACAGATTCTACAAACAGTTAACAGGAGAAAGTCAAATGTTGTTGTAGAAAATTCCCTCTCACACTGCTTGAGAATAAAGGTAGGCAGCAGAGGAAACTGCTGGCCCATGTGAGGAGCAGGGTCTCATCGGCTCTTCTTCCGAGACCAGAAGCTGGCCTTGGGCAGACGTAAATGACACAGGGCAAGGACAGGGCAACCTCCTGGGAGAGTCACGCCTGCAAGGGGCACTCTGAGGCCACAGGAAAGCGCTCCCGGTGACATCCCTGCTCTTCCCACCCAAAGGGCCGAAGGCTCACTGTCCTGCCCGCCCTCACTGTCAGAACACGAAGGTAGTTTCCAGCGTGGTGCAGGGCCCATGGGTGCGTGGCCCCTAAGGAGACCCAGACCAGAGACCGGGGAGGAGCCCAGACCCCCAAGAGCGGGGCACCCCCAGCACTGCTAAACAAGAGCCCCCATCTCAGCCCACTTCTCCCGGCCCTCCCTCTACCACCCCAACTGCTGCCTGTGTTCCAGTCCCAGGCTGACAAGCTCTAGCCCTGGGCCTCTGCCTCCAGCTCCCCAGCAGGAACAATCAGATGCTAATTCCTTTCTCTGGAAGAGCAGTCAGCAACCCTCTCCTTCCAGAACTCCAACCACTCGCCCTGCACAAGCCGGTCCCACCCACGCAGGTCATCGGCCCATGGATCCTTTCTTCCTCAGCTCCAGCAAAAGGCAGTGCCCACCCTTCTCAGGTCCACACCTTTACTTTTAGGTAAGCAACTCTCCCCCAGCCAGGTCCACATCAGAATCTACCTTAGTTCTGCCTGTTTGGCCACTGTGACATTTTTGTTACTCTGCAAAGCTCAAGGACAAGGACCCTTTCCACTCACGCCTGGCTCACATACCCTCTCCTCCTTCCTCCCCTACCTATTTCTGTTCTCTGGGCCAACTACACTCTGGTCCGGCAGACGGCTCCTGGGGGTCACCCTGGGAAGGCACAGAAGGTGGGGAGTGGGAGCCCACGCCTGCAACGCAGAGCAGCAGGGTGGGGACGGCTTCCAGGCAGGCGGGTACAGGTGTCACCATGAAGCACTGCTGCCAGGATCGGCGCCTATGCCTCCTCCGAATGCAAGAAATGGAGCCCCGGTCCTCACCTCACTCCAGAGGTGTCCTCTAGATGACACTGGGCACAGAGGCCGCACACCAGTGAGCCTGCCCCGTCAGGCGCCCCTCACTTGCCTCACAGGGCTCTGGTCAGAAAGGAGCTCCTTCAGCAGGTTTATATAACAACAAGGAAAGCATTTATTTTTCATTAAGCTTCACTTCTTAGTATCACAATGGAATGATGAGAAAACAAGAACAAAAACAAAGTCTTTGCAAATCCCTGGCAGAGCAGAGACTCCAAGGCAACCAGGAGGATGGGGAGGGAGGCTCGGCCAAAAACAGTCCCGGCATCGCTTCTGGCCAGCCGGTGGGGAGGCGGAATGGTGAGAAGATGGCACTGTCTCGAGCTGTCCCTGGTGCTCCCGCCCCAGGCCTGCACTGCACAGGTAGCCCCGCGGATCTCCGGTGTACCTGGCCCCATGACTCCGCCTGCTCCAAATGCCCTGGGAACCAACCAGAGCGCGATGGACCTGAAGCCACTCCGCTGGGCAGTGGCAGGACGGTCAGTGCAGGGCGCAGGCCAGCCTCACCGCTCAGGGCAGAGGCTCGCCTGGCGACACCTATGGCAGAAGTGGAGGCGGAGGCGGTGCGGCGACCAGGCAGCAGTCCGTGTCCCTTGGCAGCAGCTAGAGCTTCACAGTGCCGGGGGGCAGGCTGTCATTGCAGAGTCGGTAGTAGCGCAGGTCGTTGACCAGCCTGTGCACATTCTGGGTGAACGAGGGCAGGTCCTAGAAGGCAGGGGCACAGCTGAAGCCCTGCCCCACAGGCCCTTCCACACCGCGGGTCACCCACTATTCGGTGCCCCACCCCCAGGGTGTCATCTGCAGTGCAAACCTGACAGGGACAGAGTAAGGGCAAACCTCCTCCGGGGCCGAGTGAAAGGCAGTGGAGCCAGCAGTTAACAAGCACCAGACCACGGCACTCTTCAGGACCCCTTCACGGCCCCGCCCCAGGCCGCACAGACAGGAGGAGCCCAGCCTGGGCTTGGCCGACCTCCAGCCCTCTGTCACCATGGCCGACGGCATGATGTCACTCGCACCCCACAGTGCCTGCAGAACCCTTCCCACTGCACTGGGTACAGCACGCACTGCGGGGAGCACCCAGACCGGGAGGGAAGGGAGCCCCTCAGCTGGAACCCTGAGCGCTCTCCTGGCGCTCTGTGAGACTCCGGGCTGTAGCGCAGAACTATGGGTAGCCTGTGTGAAAGTCACGCGAGGAACACGGCAAAGCACTGTCAAAGAACAAGCGGGTCGCCCACCCTGGCCGGTGGTGCCAAGGTGATTCCTTCCTCAAACCTGAGTGAGAAGACTGGGCTGGGAAGCAACGGAAGGCACTTCCCACCCACCCCCACTCCACCTCACCACTTCCCCTGCTCACAGGCCGCCTCCGCCCAGGAGGCTGCTTGGAGACCTCGCGGCCCTGGCCCTAGCCGGCTAGGCAGGGCCTCTGCTGGGCTCTATGTGCCCTGGGCTCACCCCGGCCTGAATCCTGCTCCCTGGCTCCACTGTTTCCAGGCGCTGTAACTGCCAGCAAGCCGCTGGCCTCTGGTTCCCTGTGAAGTGGTCAGCAGCAGCACCTGCACAGCCAAGGGCTGCAGAAGGCCAAGCCAGGACAGGATGCGGAACTGCTCTGCGAGGTATGGCCCACAGGGCGCACTGAGTGGCCTGTGTCTGCACAATACTGGCTAAAGGCTGGAGCTGGGACCCCAGATGGGGAACTGACCAGAGAGAAAGCCAGCTCCAAACACAGAGAGAACAAATGAACTTTAAATCAATGGCTCTCAAACACCAAATCAGAATTTCTTAGTGGAATACAACAAGTCTGTTTCTCTGTCTTTAATAAGCCTGGGGGCTTTTGATATATAAGTAGATTTGGAAGCACTGCTTTAAATCAAGAAGTTAACTGAAACAGATGTCATTAGAAACTTGTCATTAAATATTAGATTTAGTAGGCCCTAAGAAAAGGAAGAAAAAATATCAAAGTAGATGAAGTGAACTTCAAACTTAAGAGAGTAAGGTAGACCTCAAGACTAAAGAAAACAGGGTCTGGGTCTACAAAAAAACTTTCCTGATGCATATTTTGAGAGAAGCAGGAAGTCACGTCTACCCCAAGAACCAAGACAAAATCCACATCTGGCAGGGAGCCAGGGATGGGCTGCTGAGAAAAGAAGTCAGGAGCATCAGGAAAACACTCGAGAGCCCAAAGATTTCTTCTCTTAATGTCACCTCGGCTGTGTGAGGCGGTCAAGGGAGAACATGACTTGTTCTGTGGAGAGGTTCCAGGGGGAGGCCTACTGGGCAAAACACAGAGATTCTAACACCAGCATAGAAAGAAGCCAGGTGAGCTCAGGAAGGAGGCCCAGGACAGGAGCAGCTGGGCAATGCGGGTCCAGACACCCCAGGAGTGACGGCACCGTGTGCATTCAGAACCATCAGCGCCCCATTTCCCCCGCCACAGGGCAGGACAGAGGGTGCCACAAGGATACCCCACAGGCCTTGCACTGGTCAGCCCACCCTGGGCTAGGGCCGCTCCGGAAGGATGGGCAACCCAGGCCCATCTCTAACCCAGAGGCCCAGAGCCGAAGCTCCTCAGCACTTGTCTTTGCAGCCAGTGTGCAAGGATGGGCACATCCGGGCCAGGGTGACTTCTACACCTAACAGTGCTGGGCCCACAGGGGCGTGTCATCCCTGGGAAGCCTCTGGGCCGTGCTGAGGTGTGCTCTGGTGAGACAGGGTAAATAGGTACAGAAAATAGGAGGCAGATTCCCCATCCTCCCAGACAAAGGAGATGGACTGCTGCAACCAGAAGCCAAGGCTAGGGGAAGGAAGGGAAGACTAGGGGGAGGGAGGAGGGAGGGATTTCCAGAGAATGTTTCCGCAGCCCAGCCTGGCACTAGCCATCTGAGCGTCACACAAGCTGTCACCACATGACCAAGGAGGGAGCAGACCACGCCCACAGGCGCCACTGTGCCCTGGGGCAGCCTGCCCCTCACTGGACAGGTCCAGGATCCACAGCCTCCTCACTTGCCCTTTTAGCCTGGCCTTGCTCTTCCTCACCCGATCCATCTTGAAGTTCCGCCCCAGCACATTTTTCTGGTTGGCATCCACACCATCACAGCTGGTCAGGAACTCTGGAAGGAAGGCTGCAAAAAAGCCATCGAAGTCGACGGAGGCCATGTTGTAAATGGCAATGCCAATCTCCTCTTGCAGGAGGTCGTGGGACTTGTGAACCAGGACCTGGAGCAGCACATTCACGAACTGGAAGAGCATGGTGGTCCGGAAGATCTTCTGAAGGCAGAGGTGTGGGGAGGGCAGAGCATGAAGCTGACTCTGCCCTGGGGCTGCCCTGGTCCCAGGGTGCTGGCTGCAGGTGTCTTTCCAAGAGATGGGCACTTACCTTGTGGTACAGCTTCTGCTTGGTGTTGAGAGTCTCTAAGTAGAATAGATTTTGCTTGAAAAGGTGGATGTCCGGCTGGAGAAAGGACTGTCCAAAAGCCTGGGAACGAGACCACCGTTTTATAAGCCAGCTGCTCTGGGGCTTTCACCCTGTACCCCAGCATGGACACACCCTGAGTGGCTTCTCCCTTGAGCTATGCATGAGGCGCCCATCCTGAGCTTCATGCCCCACCCGCCAGGCGTCTGCAACACTCCTGAGTCTGAACACCTCCATCTCCCCAAAGCCTCCCTTCCAAGTTTGGTCCTGTACCTGACAACCACTAGAACCCTTTCACTGGACCTTTCAAACAAGAAGGTCACGACTCCGGCCAGATCCCTCGGCAATCCTAGCAAATGCTGAGGCCTGCCTGCGTGCCTCCCCTAAGCCGACCAGCCCTGCAGAAGCAGCCTTTCCCTTGGCATCCTGGGTCTCATGGGCCACAGATCCTGAAGCTCCTTCTCAACCTTTGTCTTGGGGTTAAGCAAGAGGAGCACCAGCCACCCTGCTCCAAGAGAAAGTGACCGGAGGAAGAGCGGGAGAGGCTGGTGGTCTGCAGAAAGCCTCCCTGTGTAAGTGCAACTGCTCTACCATTCTGTCCCCGGCCAGTAAGCTATGAAAGGCACCTTTTAATCCCTGCTTCAAGGACGGAGTCCCCATGCTGACCAAGGTTTCCATTTATTTAAAGTAAGGCTCACTGAAGTAAAACACATGGTCAAACTTTTGAAATTTACCACTATGAGATTCAGAGCAACACAATCACTTGTGCCACCACCTTAACAATCAAGGCGCATTCCGATCACCCCGCAATACTCCCTCAGCCTCCTTTGTGACAACCCTCTCTCCCTACCCTGAGCAACCACTGCTCATTCTCTGTCCTTGGGGTTTTGCTTCTTCTAGAACGTCAGCACAGTGGCACACGCCTATATCCCAGCACTCTGGGAGGCTGAGGCAAGAGGAT